TTATGAAAATGTCTTGTATTTTTAAAATACTGTAAAACTGTACTTTGTAAGATGTCTACATGATGACATCATAAAATTATAGCCTTTGATTGGTTATTTGCCTAGGCTTGAGATCAGACTAGAAAATGTATTAATATTGAAGAAGTTGATCAATGCTAGGAGTATGGATGAAAATTATACATCACATATAAAGAAAGTAACAGACAAATAGCAGGGGTAAATTCGGGAGCAGGTCAAAATCAGACAGGAAAATAAGACAAATATAATATAAATAAAAAAGTCCTACTGTGGCGACACCTACAAAAAATAAATTGGCTGTTTCCAATGGCAGTAGCTGATCTGCAGGTTCTTTTATAGTTAATCTGTTGTTGATCATTGTTTACTTCCCCTAAATTAGTTTAATAGTGAGAGGATTGATCGAATAAGCTTATTGATTGAAGGATTGCGAAGAAATATCATGCTCCCGTGTAAAAGTATTTTCAAAATTTTTTATTTTGATACTTGTTATGGTTGCTGTATTTTCTTTTTAATAAACCTAAAATTTATGTAATTGGTATTTTATTTTAAAGTACATTTCAATGTATTTTTGTTCATCCCTGTCCACTGCTAAACCCAACCGTCAATGGGGGAATAAGCAAATTGTACTAAATTATACGAATGAGATCGTACAAATTTATACGAATTAGCCACTAAATCAAAAAGTTACAAATTGCCAAGAGATTGCGTTGGAAAGAATTTCTACTTTATGACTGATTAGAATGTTTCTTAAAAACATGTATAGATGAAAAAGTCTTTGGTAACTTTAAAGTCCCCATGAACTGGAAGCTGCGACAGTTTTTTTTTTTTTAATTTAATAAAATTTTTTTATTGTATTGTAATGCAGATACTTGAGCAATTGAATATTAAATAACAAAACAGTAAGCGTGGCTTGTTTTTTCCACTGCGAGCTGAATGAATGTAGTAAAGCAGACATTTCTTGCAGAAAAAATGGAGAAAAGGGTTTGTAGAGAGTTAAAGCAGACTCTTCCTCCTCACCATTTTTGTTTTTTGTCGAAACTGACAGTTGGAGCAGTGTGGTTAAGTGTGTTAGCCATGCTCAATTCCTAAGATATTCATAATCTGACAATTTATTTAAAAAAAAAAAAAAAAAAAGTAAATTTTCCGATTTAAGTTAAATATTAGAAGAGCAAAAAAAATTTTCTTACAATTTTTTTCTTAATGACATGCACAGATGAATTGTTCACCACAAAACTGACAATGTGAGCTAACAAAATCAATTGGTTAAGGATGATTTCTTGGAGACTTTAAGGTTAAAGTTTGTAATAACAAATTATGGTCAGTTGTGGCTTATGGTCAACTATAATCCTGATTTGACAGCAGATTCTGTAATGTGACTATTGCAAATGCGTCCATTGGGATGCCAATGCTGAAATGATATATGGTGAAGCCCTATTAAAAAGGCAAAGAAAAAATGCAATTAACCATAAAAAAAAAATACACAACCTAAATTTTTAAAAGAACATTAAATTGCATAGACACCACAATTACACACACATAGACATGGCAAAAACGTAAAAAAAAAAAAAATTGTAATAATAATTAATATTTTAGTTTTGTGTCACTGTTATGAGATTTTTCTACAAGGACCACAGTGTTAGTATCATTTTGCATTAGCTAAATCTAGCTGTGAGGTAGCTGTGATCTGTTTCAATGTTTTGAAAACAAAACTCTTATCCTCATCAGAGTTGCATTCATTTGATCAAAAATACCATGAAGCCATTGACATATTGTGAATCTACAGATTGACAATCGTTCTGAGCCCCGAGTCTTTGAGCTTTTCCATTTTAAAACATGCTCGCAAGTGTTTGTGTTCCTGTTCCGGTTATCCCTCATTAAGCATGTAAATCTGTGTGCACAGCTTGCGTAGTTACGTGCTCCCCATGTTTAGCACCTCAGATCAGGCTGATTTTCTGCAGATATACGGAGACTCGCAGTTGGGTTTTGCCGGGACTAAGAGTTTAAGATTTAAAGCAAGACAGTGTGACATGGATTTGCCGTAGCTGGAAGGATTTGGCAGACATACTTAAGCAAGCATTGCTCACAAACCGCATAGTTTTCTAATCTCTTTTGGGCGCTTGTCCCCACTGCAGAAAGACCTGCTGCCCTCTCCCACACAATCTAACCCTATTTTCATAGAAAAGTCCAGCTGGGTTCAGAAATTGCTCTCTTTTTTCTTCCTTCTAGATATAAAGCCAAAAGAAAACTAGTCTGTGTACCTATGGATAATTTGAGCTGCTGTGTTTAAATACCGCATTGTTGTGATTTAACTGGCCTGCCCTTGGGAAGGTGTTTATGATCCTCACGGCGAATGGTAGTAAATACTATTGGAAAAGAGAGAAAGTTGCAACCCGGTGCAAACATTTCACTAGTCACATATTAAAAAGCCAACCAGACACATTAAAGGCTTTGTTTTCGTTTGTCTGTGGAGAATAAGATATGAGGATATAGCAATAATTTTGACTTCAACTGTATATTCTGTTATAAGTTGTTAATACTTCCACTTTTAAAAGAGTATCCCAACAAATCCACAAAAATTAGAGGGTTCATTATTGAACATTTTAATCGTACTGAGCTATTGTGAAATTTTACCATCACACACACTCTGTTTTCAGACATAGTGGGCAAAATCTTTTTCAGCCGATAATTTTGGGCCTCTAATATCAACACAATTAAAGATTCCTGTTGTTGCATATTTCTGCTGTGTGATTGTCACTTAGGATCAATATTGAGTAAATATATCAAGAGTTTATCATCTTTATCAACATACATTTTATCGCAATTGGATATGATATCGTTTATCGGCCCAGCCCTACTCTGGCAACATATTTCTTGAAGGGGGTGTTCATTAGATTGTACTGAAACATTTATAATCCTGACATAAAACATCATGAATTTGAATGAGATTGCGTGAATACTTAAAACAATTGTCATTAAGTGTCATTGGCTTAGTCATTTTAATTGCAAAGGTGACATTGTTTTGGATATCTTTATAAAAGCTTGACATAAGCAGATACATCATAACCTGTCGGTGTCTGTTGTGACAAATAATATATTGAACAAAAATACAATTTTTAATATCATAAAATTACTGCGAAAAGCCTGTTGAAGAAAAAGGAAATCAAAGAAATAAAGTGAATCAATGCAAATCACTTAAAAATAGAATTGCGAAACACATTTTTACACCACCCCTAATAACATCTGATGTTTGTATTCCTGTACTATGATGCACCTTCGAGTCATATGCAAAATGTGCAAAAATATGGCTTTTTTGTTAACTTGCATGCTGTAAAACTGCGTTTTGACTGTGTTGAACACTTTTCCTGCTTTTTTTGTGTTACAAGTACCTTCTATAATATTGATTATGGAATTTGCACAATCCGCACTGTATTTATGTTTTAGCAAACAGTTGGTAACACTTTATAATAACTACACACTAATTTATTAAGCATTAGCAAATAGTTATTTTGTTATTTGTTAAGCAATAACTCTACGTTAAAAGATGTTAGTAGTAGGTTGATATATAGCTACAAGTGCTGCATTCTAAACTTAGAAGTACATGTGTATAATGTGCTAATAATTGTGTTTTCATACTTTAATGATTAATTTTTTACTACTTAATGAAGTATTGCATCATTTACAAATTAGTTATTTAAGAATAGTTGGTGGCTTTTTAAGATCATTCAGAATGTGCAAGTAAATGATTCATAAACTATTCAAATACTATTTACTGTATGTCTGCTTATTTAGGCATATATTAATAGATACTTTGAATGTTAATAAATGCTTTATTAACACAACTTTATCCAGTTTTGTGACTTAATCTAGTGAGAACTATTTATGCTTTGTAAATCCATTGTGAATGACAATTTTCAGTATCAAATGAACAATAAATGTTTGCAATTTTATCTAAAAAAATAAAATTTAAATAAAACATTAAAATAACTTAATAATAATCATTTATAATTGTGTTAATAAATTAATACAATAATCATTTAAGTTGTGTTAATAAAACATTTATTAACATACAAAGTAACTAATAATATGTCTGAATAATAAAATTTATACAGTAAATGTTAATTTGAATAGTTTATTAATAATTTACTTACACATTCTGAATGATCTTAAAAAAAACACAAACTACTCTTAAATACTCTTTGAGTTTGTAAGTAATGCGATACTTAATTTAGTAATGAAAAATATATCAATAACAAAGTATGAAAACAATCATTATAGATGTGCTTATATGTCAAGATTACAGCACTTACAGCATAAACTGCTTACTAACATGTGTTAATGTAGAGTTAATGCTTAACAAATAATTTGCTAATGCGTAACCTCTTAAAGTCAAGTGCTATTTTGGGGTTTCTCCCAGGATTTTGCCTACCCAAATTCATAAACTTCCCACATCCACATGCAGAGGTGTAAATCCAAAAGTCTGGTATCATTTTAAAGAAAACCCTTTGAATTTTCATAAAACAATGTTGAAAGTGGTTAAAATAATTGTTTATGTTGTCTGTGTTATAATAAACCCCTCCAAAAAAGGTGCTTTTTGTAAACTCAAATTTGAAACCTTTTAAATTTTGTGTAGTCTTGGTCTCTGTAATTAATGCAAAAGGTATTCTATCCCAATTGATGAGAGAACAGAACCACTTATGGGGGTATTGGGTCAGTAGGTACCTTTAAACTGTAAAGCATGTGGAAATAAATGACGTCACAGACCCGGTACCGTGTACGCAGAGATTAAGAGGTTCAATAAATGATTCTTAATGTGTAGTTCTTTATAAAGTGTTACCCTTTTTTTCTTTTAGGGGACAAAATTTGCAGACAACAATTGAAGCAGATCTCACAATATTTACAATTGCTGTAACTACAATTTCTAATTTTCTAGTGTTTGACAGTGTTTGACAAATGAACTTTCTCTGTCTGTCTCACTCCTGCAGATCTCGGAGGGTTAAACCGCTGTCAATATTGTGAACATGATGTCATCTCTGCTTTTCGTCTTGAGTTTGTGTGTCTGGGGTTGTCATGGCAACACCCGCACAACACCCCGAGTGCACCTGTCATACAAAGGTGAGAAATGTTGCGATTCGATCATGCCTTACACGTTTTATTTAATGTATTAATTAGTTTAAGTAAACAGTAAAAATAGTACAAATTAGTTTCTCCTTTGTTTAATAATTAAATGTGTCATAGAGGTGAAAATTATTAGCGTGCATCTCATTATTCTAAATTGAATTAGTTACTTAAATTAATTGCTTATTTTTGGCCTAAATAAACACCTGAACATTTTTGGGTTTTAAAAGTGTCATTCAGGAGGAAAGTGAGGCATTTTTATGCTGGATATATGACGGAAGTGTCATTTTTACACCCAGAAGTGCCATGTTTTTTAATAGAATATTATAAAGCTATTGAAATGCATTTGTGAGCCGTGCTTGAATCCAGATTAATTAATTGCAAGCTAAAGGCAAAATAATAACTTTTATGCTGCAAAAATGGTTTCTCCTGTGTTTCTCATCCAAATTTCGCCAAACCTTTACAATAATTGTCAGGAAGCTGCTGCCGACACTGTGGTGAAAACTTCTGAAGCATGCCATGGTTAACCCTGAGAAAATGCCTTAAAACTCTGTGTTACATTTTACCCAACATTACTTTGTGCCTCCCATGCCTCCCTGTTTTTGTTCTGTTAGTCATTCATACATTCATTTTCTTTTCGACTTAGTCCATTTACAAATCTGGGGTCACTACAGCAGAATGAACCGCAAACTTATCCAGCATATGTTTTACGCAGCAGATGCCCTTCTAGCTGCAACCTTTCACTGGGAAACATCCAAACACACTCATTTACACGCATACACTGCGTACATAGCTCACCTAATTCACCTACACATGTCTTTTGGGGAAAACCAGAGCAACCGTAGGGAAACCCACACAAATACAAGGAGAACATGCAAACTCCACATAGAAATACCAACTGACCCAGCTGGAGCTCAAACCAGCGACCTTCTTGCTGTAAGGTGATTGTGCTACCCACAACGCCACCGTGACACCCTTCTGTTGAATAAAAAGAAGATATTTCTAAAGACTAATATAATTTTATGTTCATATAATAAAGGTAATCAGATCACACATCATGGGATCCTCCTGACTCTTGAAATGATCATATTTTCAAAGTAAGAAATTCATTTTGAAGGACTTGCGGTTGTTGACACAACCCCAAAGACAACAAAATGTCATTTTTGATGTCCTGTTGCTTTAAGAAAATACTGTCTCCTCCTATTTGAGTCCCTTTTGCACTTGCCTAGTTCTAAACCTTAGACTTGAAAACATTTTAATAAATGTTTTCCTCAAACTTGCCCTGTTTTAAACTCTTGGATACAATAATGCAGCTAATTTAAAAGAAAGCCATGTTGAAATTTTCGGCGAGCCCCGAGGAACCTCGTTTTCATGCTTTGCGGAGCTTCTGAACACTTTCTGTCATCAGTGGCTTTTTAATGCCTCTTTTTCTCCCAGTTCCTCATGTCACACTCTCTTTCTCTCTCACACTTTCGCGCTTCCTGTCTTCCTGTGTATGTTTTGAGTCTGGCACCAGCATGCCTCATCTCCCAATTAATGCCCCAGAGAGGGGACTACCCATCATCCCCTCTGTCACGGCGGGGCACAAAGAGATGCAAGCAGAGCGAGGCAGATGTTTGAAGTTTAAAAGTCAAATCTCTCGCACTAAAGCATTAGCATTTTTCTCCCATTCAGCTCGCAAGTGGCGGTCAAATAGCAGGTTCCAAAAAACACAGCTTGTCCAAAAAACACAGTTGTCAAAGAGATATTGTTTTTATATAATGAAACGTGCGTGCAGACACATTTCTAATGCTATTTTGCCCATCCGTGTGACAGAGGCGCAGCCGCACAACAGGTCAGAGTCTGACATGAATTCGCTCTCGATTCTCAGAAACTGTCACACACAAAACCCAGCAGGTGCTTCTGTGGAGCCCCATTACTTTTTGTGTTTATGAGTGTGTGTGTGAATACTTTCTGACGGATTACACACACACACACACACACACACACACACACTTACAATCTTCTCCACAAGGTATATTTAGTACACAACCTTGTGGTGTGTGCCAGCCGATGCCAGTTCAGCAAGCTGAGGCATGGCTCTTTATGACACCCTGTGTTTTGAGATGCTGGGTTTTCCTAACACTGGGTCCTGACCAGACACAATGCAGTGATGTTCATGAATATTTTTCGGGCATTACTGAATGAAAGTGCTGTGCATTGTAATGAATAATGTATTTTTGTTGTGGTTGTCTTTTTTTAACATCCTTAATCAGAATTTGCACACTTGATGTTAAATTTACACTGGTCAGTATGTATTTTCACAATTCATTGTTTAATATTAATTGTTTGCATATAATGTATAGGGATAATCAATATTCAATTCTATTCAATTCATCTTTATTTGTATGGCGCTTTTACAATGTAAATTGTGTCAAAGTAGCTTTACATAAAAGATTATAGTGAATTGAAACAGTTCAGTTTTCGTTCAGTTCAGTTCAGTTTAGATTAGTTTAGTTCAGAGTGTTTTTATATTCACTGCTGAGAGTCCAAACACTGAAGAGTAATCTATTAATGTGCAGCTTTACAAGTCCTGAACTATGCAAGTTAGTGGTGACAGAGATGAGGAAAAAAAACCTTGAGAAAAAACCAGGCTCATCGCACACCACCATTTCTCATGTGGCGAAACGTCTTGTGGAGAGCTGCAGTCTAGGCACCAAAGGCTAGAGAACGCTGGACATCAGCGGAGACTTGTCTGTCCTTGCAGTCTCACAGGAATCAGATTCATGCTGTAATATGGGTCACGCTACATTTGAGTGTACAATTTACACTAATAACAAACCGTTAACTAAGACTTAGCTCAATAAACTACTTAAAATCTGTTTCTTAATAGTTAGTAAGGTAGTAGTTAAGTTTAGGTAGAGGGTAGGGATTGGCATGTAAAATCCTACTTTATAAGTGCTAATAAACAGGTAAATATGCAGTTACTGGGTGGTAAGTGTTAAGGTGCCAGTTAGCTGCAGTTATTGTTGCATAATTAATTGTAATTACTATAGAAAATGTGACTAGTGTGGCAACAAGTGTAATAAGGACACCTTCAAGTAGTGTTACATTTTAATATTTACTTAATTTTATTTATACAAATAACCAAATATGTATGCATAACTTTTTATTGAAGCCAGACTTGTTGTCTTCATTAATTAAAAAAAAAAAAAAAATATATATATATATATATATATATATATATATATATATATATATATATATATATATATATATATATATATATATATATATATATATACATATATATTATAAACAGAGAAAGCATCTTACATGCAAATAGTGTAAGCAAATATGAGAAAGAAATTAAATGTCAAAACAAAAGAGCTAACGTCCTCAAAAATAGTCTGTATCAATTCACAAACAATAGTAATATAAAATAATTACATTATTCTGGAAAAAAATGCTTGATTAGAGCCTATTTAAAGGTGTAAATAAAGTGTTTCAGATGTTAGTATCGGTATGTTAGTTTTAAGACTATCTATAAGCAAGTGTGGGTTAAAATAGTGGAAAAATTTGCGTTTAGACTTCATATAATCATCCAAAGCTTGCAGTTTGTCACTTCCATGTACATGGATCAACAATTATTTTTACATCACCTCATACTTCAGTTTATCCTCAAATCTTGACCAATCAAATGCTCCCTAATATCTGACATGTCCCGCCACCTCCGAGATGCTGCAAATTTACATTCACTGGCAGAGCTGTGATAAAACAAAACGCTATTGGCTGTTTTTTTAAAGGGGAGGAGCTACTCTATCTCCTGCCCTCTTCATGTTTCAGTTGAGATTAACATTGAATAAGAAATGCACATTTCAAAGCACTTCACAGGATCTTTAAGTGCTGTTTGTAAGACTAGAAAACAGCCAGTGCTCCTTTTGACTATTATTATTTTCCCTAATTTTACAAGATTGTAGATATTGATGATCAGCTATGAGTGCGGGTTTACATGAGTCTTTGAAATGCAGTGTGTGTGTGTGTGAGTGTCTGCGTGTGTAAGTGTGAATGTCTGTGCACCCGAGTGTTTGCGATGGCGATTATGACCCCGGGTTGACTGGGGTTATTATGTGCGTAGGTGACAGTGGGATAGATCCCTGTTCTGAGAAACCGGATTGGCTTGTGGCGTTTGAGGTTTATTATTAGCTTGTGTGGTTGCTGTGTTTACTCCGGCCAAAGCACAGGGAAGCCCCCCAAAGCATAACAGGGCTCGGTGCCAGCAACCTGCTCCAAAATGCCACAGAGACGGCAGGAATGATCGGAGCTTCAGCCGGTGTCATCCAGCCTCAATCCATCCCCACCCCACAGCAGCACACTGGCTTTATCGGGATCACGGATGAATCAGACGCATGATCAGGGTAGGGCCGGATTCTGGGAGCACCACTCAGGGGATCTAGATCAAAAGGCTCAATTTTTGTGCTATAAGTTGTTGTGAAATGACAAAAAACTGACATTGGAATATTTTTTTTCACAAGATATTGTATGTGTAAATTGTAAAAATAGCTGAAATATTACATTACTGTCAGGATGTTATTTATTTTGAAATATCCTGGTAGGTCTGAATTTGAAATAACTTATTTTATGAAGTAAAGCTGCTTGAGTTTTTCAAAAGCCACATTAAAAAAAGTAATTTTATCCTGAATAATATAGCAATTGGATTTCATTGGATTTACTAAATTTTTTTAAGCTAAGCTGTTTTAAACAATTAAATGGGCTGAATTTAAACAAACACATTAAGTTAAACATTACTAATTTTAATTAGTTTGTTTAAATTTAGCTAATAAAAATTGTTTGCAAACCCACCCTTAAAAAAAAAGTGTAAATTAAGTAAAAAAAAAAATTCAGTGTATTTACTTGTAACTAAAGGGTGCTGGACGACATAGTGAGGATCCAAATGCAGGCTTTATTTAGAGTAGTCAAACAGGCGATGATCAAAGACGGGCGAAAACAAGAACATG